TGTGTATAAGTTGTAGCTTAGGGTTTGTTTTTTGAGTTTTGTTAGATTTGTTTTTAATTTCTGTTCTTTTTCTTTATCATTTCTTTTTTCTTATCTTTAGTTATGACCAACTTAAGATAGGAACATTTGGGATCTGTGCAGATAAGTATATAATGGTTAGTATATCTGAAGGTTTCATTACATCTTTTATGAAGACTAGTTGGTTTTTGAACTCAATGATAATAGGTAGAAGCTCTTTAAGATGAAAAATGAATTGTTGTCTAAATTTATATTTGAGATAATTTTGGACTTTGGTTTTGTTGATAGTATTAGAGAATTAGCAACTGTATATAGGAAAATTTTTTTTGAACCATTCATTAAAATGGTCAAGTGAATTTTTTAAAGATGGTATATTGTATTTTTGAATAAATAAGGTTTTATGAAGGTTGAAATTAAATTTAATGTTAAAATGATTATTCATTTTAATAAAGAGGAACTGATGTTGTTTATCAACTTTAGTAACCTCAGATGTTATATTAAATCTTTTGGGTCTTAGTTTGATATCTTCTGCAAATTTGGTGTAGTTAATTGCTTAATAGTTATTAGAAAAGTATAAATAAAGTCAGGCAAGATTAATACAAAATTGTAATTGATTATGAGTTTGAATAGGTGGAATGGTGACTGAAGAGACAAATATTTCTAAATAGTTAAGTTTAGTAAAAAAACTGTTGTAAATATGAGAATAAGTTTTTTAAGTATTTCTTTAAGAATATTAAATAATATTGTAACAGCTTTATCATTGTTAGAGTTATATTATTGGATTAAATTAGTAAGAAATTAAGGTCTAGCACCAGCCATTTGTCTAATTAATAAATAAAAGCTTGCTTTGAGTAGATCTCATTTTTCAACTACTTCTTTAATGACTTTACTAAGATAGAAGTTATAAAAATATTCTTTAAGAAAATTAAAGAGTTTTTAAGACATCTCTATAATTTTGTATAGTTTTGCATTTTATTAGTAATCAGAAAGTTTGCTAAGAAGTCATATGATGAGTTAAGTTTGGGTTTTGTTACTTAACTATAAGATTGAACTAGTTGAAATTGTTAGAGTAGTTTTTTGTTAGGCTATTGTTTGTATAAAAGTGGTAAAGCTTGATGTAAAGGTTGTTGTTGTTGTAATTGTTATATTTGTTGGGTTTGTAGTTGTTATTGTGGTTTAGGTGGTATAATAAAGCTGTCAATGTCCATATCATTGTTAGTAAAAGTTGTTTCTTTAAAGTTAGGTAGAGTAAATATGAGATTTGAAACAAGAAAATTCTTCAGATTTTGATCAAGTAGAGAACTAACAAGCTGTTTAGTTGGAAGTTTATATTATGAAGATAGGTTTTGTTCAGAGTTTTTGATAGGTTGGAGTTTGCATTGATTAGCTAAGATCATTTCTTTATAAATTTCAGTTAAGTAATTATTGTGATATGCTGTATTTTGATAGAAGATAGATTCAGTTTATAGTATATAGTTGTTGTTAGTCACTTTACAATTAATGAGAGTTTGATATTTAAAACAAGTATATGTATGAATAGTGGCTGTAAGAGATAGTAAAACTTGAGATTTAGATTTTGCAAGTAATTGTTAGAGCTTTTTGCCTTGTTTGTTAATTGTTGTTTCATCAGTTTTGCTAATAAGTTCATATGTTTTATTGTTTTCTACAATGAATTTAGTATGAAATAATCTACACATGCATTTGATTATTGCAGTTATTGCAGAAACAGAAAAGAAATGAGTTAGTGAATGAGATCTAAGTTTCATAATAATACATTTGATAAGTTTGTATTTGTCTAAAATAGCTCTTATTTGTATAGGTTTATTTTCATAGATGATAATGCTATAAGAGCTTGTATGATTCTTGAAGAAATAATTAAAATCTAAGATATTTGATGTTTCTGTACTAAGAGTAGACATAGTGCTACAAGTTTACTTAGAAGTCAGAGTTTAGGTTATTTAGTTAAATTTTTTATAATCTTTGATTAAAGATTTTTAAAACTTTAATTATAATATAAATTTAATTGCAGAATATAATTTGTATTTGCAGAGGTTTGATTATGACTACTGTGACTGCTACAGCTTGTGTAATCTTATGTAATCTAGGTAACACAAATTTGTAACTAGTGTGGCTAGTGTGGCTAGTGTGACTAATATAGTACAGATTTATAAATAGTTAAGTATTATAGTAACTATTGTATAATTGAGTGTAAAATTTATTTTTAGCAAGTTAGTACAAGATAATTTGTAACAAATAAATTTCTTTTTAGATAAATTTAATTTACACAATATGAAATTAAATAAAACCAATTTTAGAAATGATTTGAGATTATATGAAAAATGTTTTAAAGAAAAAAATTTGGGGATAAGAACAAAGGAATAAAAAAAAAAGAAAATAAACTATAGAGGAGTTAAAGTTGTTTTCTATTATAATTTCATTAATTTTAGATCTACAAGCTTTTTTTTGGCCTTGTTTTGATTGGAAGGAAGTGCTTTATAACTTTTCTTATGACTATAAAATAGGTTAACAAGATGCTTTATGAGAAATAATTAAAAGTTTAATAGTGAAGACTGAAGCTGTTTTTGCAGTATTCAACTGCGAGTTCGAATATTAATAAACTTGAAACTTTCAGAGTATATATAAAATTATTAGCTGAACAAGTTTATTTAAGAAACCAAAGTTGATTATCTTAGTAAGATAACCCAATATTAGTGATTTTATTATTGATAGATTTTTAGTTATTTTTGTATAAAAAGAATTTACAATCATATTTATTTAGTTAATTTTGTAACCAAAATGCTTCTTTATTATTACAGAGCAATAACACTTAAGTAAGTTTGTATATTTACAATTTTTATATTATAAAATAATTTGATTTATTATTATTATAAGCAACACTTAAATCAAGTAATAAGGTATGTCAACATTAGATTTTTAAAAATAACTTTATTATCAGTATTTTTTTTAATATTTAGTATATATATTAGATTAATTATTTCTTTAAATTAAAACTCAAACCTGAATCTTAGTAATATGATTTTGATATAATTGAAATAATAATTGCATGTTTGGTAACTAATTTTTGTTATGATCAAACACATTGTAAAAACCAAATTGCTTTGGAAAAATATATTGAATAATGTCTCTTGGCATATTAGTATTATTTAAAATATCTGTAAAATATTAATATATATACATAATTAATAAAACATCAGATACATTATATTTATAAATTGGATAATTACTCTAAAAAAGAAATTTTATTTACTTTTTCTCAAATAATGCATACATATATATTAAAAAAAATAGATTTACTTCTTTTAATACATCTATAACTATTTTTAATACTTATTCTTGATCAATAGATTTTAAAACAATATTGAATATCTACTTTTGCAAAATATAATCTTGATCTTAAACAAAATATGTGTCTTTCCATGTTCAAAAATAAAATATAAATAAAATTCCTTCAATTTCTTCTTCTAGAAATAATAAAAGACCCAAAATTATAAAATAAATGTTTTTTTAGGCCCTATTCACATATCCTATTTAAGTTCTTTTTGTAACATTCCTTGAATATCATCTTAAACCAGTGTTAAATCATTCTGCCTCCAGAATGTTTGAGAAACATACCCTATTCTCTAGCAACAATTTGTCACTTTCTTTGTTATTTGTGTGTATGTATCCTGACCGATCTGCCAGTAACAATACATAGGGCCAACACACCACAATATTACCTGATAGTCACATGTTGCCATTAGCCAATCAAAATCGTGAAATTTGATGAATCCCGGATCAGTCCGAAATCAAAACAAATCATTAAACTCAATTAAGGTAAATGTAAAAAATAGGCTGTTTCTATTGGTTTGAGAAAGGTTTTTTGTTGTCATTGTTTTGACTTAATGCTTTTTTTTTATCTTGCTTTGTTTAGTCTGTTTATTTTTTTTGTTGTCTTCCTGTTGTGCACAATGTGCACATTAGTTTAGAACAACTTTATTTATATTTAGTACTGAACTCTGTACTATATTTTTTATTTTTTATTTTTTATTTTTTTTTGTAATGTACAGGAATAGAAAATACGGCATTATGGCATATAATATTTACGGCAATCAGTACTGTGCCGTAATTAATTCTACCATCTGGTAAAATGCCGTAATTCAATAATTCTACAGTCAACTATATGCACTTCTGACTTTGGGTGGTCCCGTTGTTTTGCCGGTGATCTTCTGGTTTGTTCTTTCAGTATTATTTCAATAGATAATTGGAGCATTGTCCAATTTATTTTCTATTGCCGTATAGTATCGAAGCAATTCTTGAATGTGTGCCAGATTGTGGCGCAGCAAAAATTCTTTAATCGACAAAATAACCGGGTAAAATTCACCATCCAAATTTTTTTCAGATCAAGTGATATAATTTAATGAGTTTCGTCATTCTAACTTAGAATAATGTAATGAACCAATGAGTTTATTAAATCATATCGCGTGATCTGAAACAAATTTGGGTGGTGTATTTTACCCGGTTGACAAAATTGTCACGCCAGATCTTCGATATTGATTGGCTAACGAGCGTGAATCTGCAAAATTTTGGCCCGAATTACATAATTCCTTACTAATTTCTGGTCGGAATTAACTTTTTATTCTCAAAATAGAAAATTTCAAAGAAATAGAACCCTATGATGGTAAAATTAGTCCAAGAACAATTTTCACTAAATGAGCGGCTGTGATTTCACTAGTAAAATTTTGAGTAATTCAGGCAAAATTTTTTGATCGTCGCTCTTGGTCAATCAATCGAAAATCTGCCGGGACAATTTTGTTGTCGATCACAGTAGTGTTAGGGTATGATTATGTAGTAAAATGGCTCAAAAAAAAACTTTTTGTTAGAGTACCAAAAGTGGATATGTCTTGAAACTTTACTGATCGTATTACGTGCCACAAGATTGGCACAGAAGTTTTTCATCCGACATTACAGACATGCCAAATTAATTATGCCACCAACTTTGCATTTCGAAGTAACACAAACACTAACATTCTATAGTTTGCGTTAAGGCCACACCAAGTTAAAACTATGTTTGCCCCTTTTTTGAGCCTCAAATAAGGGGGTAATAAACACCACTTAATATAAAATCATATTAACTGTTCAAAAAAATTTTTTTTTAGCCAATCAAAATCTCATGTTTTTTTAACCCCCATATAGAGTTGCAGATCATTTATTAGTGGTTATGTTAAACATAGAACCAAATCGGAACGGCCTAACTACGTATAGAAATTCTGATAAGAAATTCGATGATTACGTAATTCGACGTTTGTAATTATGAAAAGTTTTATACGTAGTATTTGATATTTAAATTTATTTAGCAATGCAAACCCAAAAAGTATTTTCCATCTATAAAAAAAAATTAAATTAAAAAGCTAATTATCCACGTTGATCCTTCCCACAGAGCTTACCCGAATAATTAATTCCAGAGAAGCGTAACATCGGCTACTTTGTTTTATGGAAAATGTCATATGATTAGTTAAAATAAGTGATTGGTGGAAATTTTGACACGTCATCCAATCAAATCTAGGATTTGGCACACTAATATCAAATTTAGATATCGATATAACTGCATTCGTATCACAAACGTACTTTAGTAAAAAAATTTTTCAATATGATAACATTACCGAATGAATGTCTCTTTGAAATATTTAAAAACTTTGAATGCGATCATAATTGCTTGTTTGCATGTCTTCTTGTAAACCGTCAATGGTGTAGAAATGTTGTACCAATATTATGGCGTGGACCATTTCCTTTTAAAAATAGAAATTTTATCAGAACATGTCTTATAATGTTAAATGCCGAAGAACAAGCCCAATTGTTGCCATTTGATATAATGTTTCCAAATGGACCGAAACCATTATTTGACTACCCTATTTATATTACAACAATCAAGATTATTACGGATGGTGGAATTATAAATTGGCTTAATAATGAAGGACGTGGGCCTCGTGATTTAACTTATTACTCTAAAGAAAATGCATGGTCTATAAAAGTAGTTCATTCTATTAGATCTAGTTTAGTTTCAATGTTGTTACGAAAAAGTAACAGAATTGAAGATTTATGCGTTTGTGGATTAATTCGGAAAAATGTGATAAATTTATTGGCCGAATCTCTTAACAAAAGGGAAACTTTAACTTCTTTAAGTCTTTTGAATAATCATCTTTATTTTAAGACCGGAAAAGTTTTAATAGATGCTCTTTATAAGAACACTTTTTTAACTTATTTGAATTTCCGGAATAATATTCTTGGTTCCGAAGGTAGCAAATCATTAGCTAAAGTTCTTTGTACAAATAATTCCATAACTTTTTTAAATCTTAACGAAAATTGTCTTGGCTCTAAAGGGTTAAATTCATTAGCTGAAGCACTTCATGTAAACACTAGTTTAACTCATTTACATCTTGCAAGCAATCATTTTGATGCTGAAGGAGGAATAGCCCTGGCCGACGCGCTTTGTTCTAATACTAGCTTAAGTTATTTAAATATTAGGAATAATCAACTTGGTTATGAGGGGGGGAAAGCGCTAGCAAAAGCCCTTTGTGTAAACAATACTCTAACTTACTTAGATCTTAGCAACAATCAACTTGGTTCTGAAGGAGGTAAAGTACTTGCAGAAGCTCTTTATAATAACGTTAGTTTGACTTCTTTAGATCTTGAGGATAATTTACTTGGCTCTGAAGGTGGAAAAGCATTTGCGAAGGCTCTATATTGTAATAAAACTTTAACTAATTTGGGTCTATGGTATAATCATCTTGGTCATGAAGGGGGAAAAGCAATAGCAGAAGCTCTTTGCATGAATACTACTCTAACACTTTTAGATCTTCAAAATAATCAACTCGGTTCCGAAGTAGGAATATCATTGGCAGAAGTTCTTTGTAGAAATGACACCCTAATTTCTCTATATGCTGGTGAAAATCATTTTGGTTCCGAAGGAGGAAAAGCAATAGCAAAATCTCTATGTAATAACACCACTTTAACTTCTTTATCTCTTGAAAAAAGTATGCTCAGTCCAGAGGTTGGAAAAGCATTTTTGGAGGCACTTTATGTGAATAATACACTAACCTCTCTAGAACTTCGTAACAATAAAATTGGTAAAACTGTTTTGAATATGATTAGTAATTTACTTGCTAATAATAAAAAGAATATTGAAGACTCTTAACGTAAGTACATTGTTTTTGTATTAAGAATATGATAATCTGAGAACAGACTTTTACTAAAGAATTTTTGCTAATTTATTGATCTAAATATAATTAAAAATAATAAATTTATGTAAAAAATACAGAAAAATAATATTAAATTTAAAACTAGGTTTAGAAATTTTTCTAATAATATTATCACTAGTTTAACATGTAAGAACATACATTAAGAATATAGTTAAATAAAAGTCGAAATTCTGCATTAAGTATTTAATCTTCTGTATACATACGTTTGTTATTACTTTGATATTTGTATATTTAATTGAATAAAAATAATTAAATGCTAAAGGTGATTTGACAATTATTTTAAAAAAAGATTAGTTATAAATACGATTTTAATATATTTTAAGATTTAAAAACAGATAACTTTTTTTACCGCTTTGTAAGTTGAAGATGTACTTTATAAATATATTCAAGTTAGCTAATTATAAAGTAATATATAAATACAGGGTATTATTTTGATACTTACGGGCTATTACAGTAAATCATTGAAAAATATTACTTAAATTATTTTTTCAAAAAAAAGTATTAATAGCATCTTTAATACGTACCAGCTAATAATTTGTAAGCACTTGTTTAATTAGAGCACTTTATATTAAATATTAAGACTACATGGATTCATATTTACCAACTAGAAATTTATGCATATTTTAATCAAAAGTAAAATGAACTATTTGCATATGCTGATAAATCTTTATACTCACGTTCTTCATATGAGTATGATATTAATTAAAAAATTATGTTTATTACGAGTTAATTATTTTAAATCTCTAAATCAATTATTAAACTTGACATTTACCGGCTAGTAATTAGAATTATAAATTAATTAAAAATATACAGTATCATTAATAACCAATGTTAAAATAAATTTAATACTCACATTCTAAGAAAATTGATTATTAAGTTATTTATTATTAAAAATAAATTGAATAAAATTTTATACCCACCAACTAATTAATAAAGTTGTTTAGAGAATTATGTTTAAAATAGTTAAGATCAGACTCAATGGATGACAAATATACTTACTAGCTAATATTTAATATATTCAATATTAAAAAATTAGTTATTATAAATTGAAGTAAATAATAATTTATGCTTACGAGCTGGTAAATTTAATTTAAAGAAATTTATTATAATAAATTAATTATTATCAATAGATCTTTAATCTAAATTAAGTTACTCACATTCTAATTGTTATTATATATGATTAATTATTTATTTATGATATTGTGAATGGACTGTTATTTCTACTTACCAACTAGAATAATAAGTTTTTGTTAGTATAGTATTATTTATAAAAAAATTAAATCAAATCAAGTAACTTACATTTATCACCGTCCATGGCTTGTTTTTACAAAAAATTGTTACTTAAAAACAATAATATACTACAATATAAAAAGATATAAACTCATACTTACAAGCTAGTAAATTATTATGAAAGAGAATATTTAATAATAAGTGTTAAACTTTATTATTCAATTATCTTCTACACTCACATTCTATTTCCGTAAATTTGATAATGATGCAATTAGAAAATGTGTTAAAAATAATGAACATTCAAAAGTTTTAAATTATATGATATTTTAATGTTAAATAATATTTATATCTGCTTACCCGCTAAAATTTATAATTTTATTATAGAAAAATACTTATTATAAACATTTTTCTCAAAAGGTAACAGTAAAATTATTATACTTACAATCTAGAAATTATTCGGGTATAATTTATCAGATGATTTATTGTATAGTTTTGACATTAAACAAATATTATAGCTTTAAACTAACCAGCTACCAATTTATTAGAAATATAAATATAAAATGAGATTGCTGTGGTTTGCAGTATGAAACTTTAACCAAGTTAAAGAAACTATACCTACGTTCTGGTAATATAATAATTATATATTAAGATTTTTATTACTGATTTGAGTAAATAAGCGGCTTTGTACTTACCAACTAGTGATTTATTAAGAAATGTTACTTAATATGTATTGAGTAAAAATTATACTTTAAAAATTAAAATACTTACTTTCTAGTAATTTAGCAGATTTGATTTTAACATTATTATTTAATTATAAGTAGTTCTTAAAAATTTATACATACCTTCTATTTAATATATATATAATTAATTAAAAGAATAAATTATTGTTTTAATATAGTTAAAATTATTAAACCTTTTTATATAAAAAAAATTGTATCTACTTAATAAAAAAGGTTACAAAATGCTAAAAAAAAACATTATGTAACGATTTTTTGGTTAGAACTATTAAATTAAGTATTTTACTTTATTAAGAAGATACAATTTTGTTGCAAATATAGCAAATCAATTTGCAAAATTTTTAAGCAACATTGATGTGTTATTGTTAGTACAATACAATTTTAATATATTTACCCCCTACAAATTTAAACATATATATTTAATTATAAAATTGCTATAAGATTGAACTTTAAATGATAAATGTTATATTTACATTCTATTGATTTGGTGCGCATTAATTAATTAGAAAGAGAATATTTAAAACTTTGAATTTGATATTATAAATAAAGGCCTATTTACCACCTAAAGATAATGATGTAATGTATTGTTTTAAGCATGATCCAAATTAAATATTTACAAATAGTCTGAGAATACCTACCCGCTAGTAATTTTATGTTGATTTAATTAAATAATTAATTTAATAAATATACCATGCAAAAGTAAAAAAATCTATACTTACAATCTTGCAAATGACCGAATTATTAGTTAAACAATTCAAATATTTATCAAATTTCGAAATTTGTAGAATAATTTTATGCTCACCATCTAATAGTTTAATGCAGGTGTTAGTAATTGATTTTCAGAACTCCGATTTGAAAAAAACTTTATACCTACCCACTAGAGTTTTAATACAATAAACCAACATAACAAATCGTCAATCATGATATATGTATTTTTTTTAGCTTTGAAAATAAATTTCATACTCACAACCTGATATATCAATGAATGATTTTAGAAATTATTGTTGTACAATTTCGACTTTAATTAATTTATTAAACTTTATACTTACTATCTAATCATTTAAAACACGAATATGTCAATTAGAGAAATGATAAAAAAACAATTTCAGCAAAATAAACTTTATACTCACTTCCTGATAATTTACAAATATTACAAATATATAGTAAAAAAAGTAATGGCACATTTTTGAAAGCTTAACAGGTTTATACCAACCAACTAATGATTTGGTAATTATATGTTAGAACATCATTCGCTCATTTCTCAATGTATGGCCATTTTTATTTGTCAGACTTAATATAAAAGTTGCATATTCTGACAATATAAATTGTCATTATACTTGCTGCCAAACCCCAACTCTAACCAAACTAGTATCTCACTTTATTAATAATTTTGTTTGAACAAGTTATATATGTATATTTTCTTATAATTGAAATATAATATATTTGCATATATGAGCGTTATTTCGTATTTTGTCCAGAATTAAGCTTAATTTAGGCCAAAATTCGAAATTACACTTCTGGGCGGTACTTTTTTTTTTGGTTAGGATCTGCCAGCAAGTTTACGGCTTAATCAGTTCGAAGCAATTGTAAATAAATAAATACTTACAATCTAACAAATTAGAATTGAAACATTATCAATATTGTTTAGAAAGTTATTATTTTAAAAGTTCACATGAATTAAACTTTTTACTCACTCGCTAATAATCGTAATTCGATAATTATTTTATTAGACAACTATTAATAATTAGCTTTATCAACTGTAATAATCTAACTTACAATCTATTAATTATAAATTTTGGTATTTACAAATAAATTAGTATAAAATATCTTAGAATAATTGATAGACATCATTTTAAAATAATTGTATTTATACTTACATTCTTTTGATTAATTAGAAACAATAAGTAAGAATGCGTCGCTGTAAAGAAATGAAACATCGATATAAAAGCATTTATGCTTACCCCCTGAAATGTGCAAATTAGAACTATCGTATGTAGATGGCTTATATTTGACGTTAATTAATAAAATTTATACACTTACAGGCTAGTAATCAAATGTTATTTATCAAACATCGTTAGATAATGGTACAATATATAACACTAGTAATAATGTTTACAATACAATAAACCTTTTATTATTAGTCCCATAGGACTGATCTCTTGTTGATGCATGAGAAAATAATAGAAAGGGTTCATTGTATTTTGTAATCAAATGATATATAAGCTTCTTGATGCTAATAGATTTTATACTGACCACCTAACAACATAAAAGAAAGGTTATTAAATGACTTTATTTTAAGTTAAAATTATTAAAATATATTACTCACGAACTAGTGTTAAAACATATATTAATATCAATATTGTAAAATTTTTATTTCAATAGTTGTAATAGAAATTCATGCTTACACTCTAATATTTTTAAGCATTAGTTATTTAATGAATATGGATTTGATTAAATATGAATCATATGCAATACTTACCGTCTAACGATATAATTATAAATAATTTGAAGAGAAATTAACTTTGAAACCGATTTTGATAATCATCTACTCACCATCTAAAAATTATAATGTATATACGTGCTTGATTAGAAAGATGATAATGTATGTGAGGCTTTAAAATAATAAATTAACATTTATACTAACAAGCTGATAATGTATTGAATATTTATAAATATAACATTAATGACGAAATTCCAGTTTAATCGAGAATAATAAACTTTTGCTTACATGCTAATTATAAATATAGATATTATTAAAATTTTTCATTTTATTAACAATTTATTAAATAACTGCATACTCACGAACTTGAAATTTAATCAAGAAAATTGTATTATTCATTAATCTGTGATTACAAAATTTTGAAGCATGCATTTAATAAACTTTTACTTACCGCCTAGAAATTTGACAAATATCACGTCAAATTAGTAAAGAATCATTTAAACAATATATCATAAAAAAACAAAAATTTATGCCAATAAATATTACCAGCTTTGTAGTTTAAGAATTATACCGTTAATTGATTGTTATTAAATTCTGATTCAAAATCAATATGATTAATCCTATACTCACGTTCTAGTAATTTGCAATGTTTATTAGAAAGTTTGTTATCTATACATTTGCTATCATAAGCTTGATAATATAAAATTATATATTGTACGCTCACCGACTAAAAATATAAAATAAATTATAAATTATTTGAATTTTATAAGACATACGAATTTAAAAGAAAATCCATACACACATTCTAATAATTAAAAATTATGCATTCAATTAATTAATGCAATACTTTAAACAAATATTACAGGCATTGATTTTAAAAGACTTAACTCACCGACTGGCAATTAAGAATTATTAATTTAATTGATTAGATAAACAAATAAAACTTGTTCGAAATTTTACACTTACGAACTGAAATTGCATAAACACGTCTAGATTAGAAATTAAGTAATGAGTCATGAGTCATGACCAAAATAATTTCATATTTACCTCCTAATTTTTTAATAATTTTTGATCAGCAGGACTTAAATTATTGATTTTTTGATCTAAATAATTATTTAATACTTACTTACTAGTTAATGTTGAATAGTAAAGTTAACTAAAATTATTTAATATCGACTTAAAATAAATTAAATAAGCATTACACTCACATTCTACCAATTTAATATATATAATTAATTTAAAGGTGTTATTTATGATAAATTATTATGAACTTTAATTTAATTATACTTACCGCCTACAATTTTATTTTGATAAAGTAATATTAGAATGCTTTTGCATATAAATTTAATCCAAAAATGACATATTAATACAATTTACCATCTAGAAATTGGATTAATGAGTAATTAAAAAATTGTTATTAAAAAAAAAAGAAAAAACTACGTTCACGTACCTTCTAATAATCAGAAAAGATATATTATTATAAATCCAAATTGATTTTAACGAAAAAAAATTTATAGTCACCGACTATTAGAATAAATAAATTGAATAATTATATATTTATCTATAAAGTTTAATGCTAAGAATGCATATAAAGAAAATTTATATTTACGAGCTAGAAAATCAATTTGTTATTTTACATAGATTTATTATAAGGTTTTGAGTATGAAAAAGGAATTGCAACTTTTTTATATTTGCTTACTTCCTGTAATTAAGCAAAAAGAGGTCACATAAATAAAGTATATAAACGGCATTTAATTAATTTAACGAAGAACATACTTGTTTTTGGTTTTTTGCTAATAAATTTATAATAATTAGCAATTAATTTATAAGAATTAGCAATTAATTTAAAATTTTAAGTATCAATAAATCTCTTGCCGAAACTCACCTCCCACAATAATTACATTGCTTATCCAAACGATCATTTTCGGTACCACACTCTTCTAATAAAATTTTTGAACAATACCATTGTTTACCTGCACTTCTACTAATAATCTTTTTATCTTCATTCTTTACCATTAAGCCACAGCCACTACATTTATCGGTATTTTTGTTAAGAGTTTCACAAATTTTCCATGAAAATTTGTTGCACACCCAACTCATTTTCTTGATTGATTATGAGTGGTTTAACTTTCGATATTTCTTTCTGACCTAAAAAGAAAAAAAATTAAAATTTAATATTTATTTTTATCTGTAATTTTCAGTGACTACATATGGGTACTTCGTATACTACCGTTACACTATGTAGTGTACCTACGTACGTAAAAATTCGGTTAAACATGCTGTTCCGTATTACGTGACCAAGTAATTATTGGATAATAGCGGTATGAATAGAATCAATAGAATGAATCAAACGTGACACAATTTTCTATTCTCTGTGCAAATAAATTTTAAAAGTTATTTATTCACCAATTTTATGATCTCAAATAAGAATGTAATCTTTAAATAGTGTATTCTCAGAAATATTATAATGTTGACACACTAGATATTTAACACTGATTATGATTCACTTTTTACAAGTGTTTACAAGATTGTAATCTGAATTTAGAAATCTATACTACTTTCCTTTTTTTTGCTTTTATATACAGTAAATTCGACCAGATGATTTTATTAAAAAAAATAAAGAAAATACGAGGATCTGTCTGTTATCCTCACAGGTCTATATAATATACTCCAATAACTAAATATGATATCTATAAATTGATACTACTGAACTACAAAATTATATATAATACCAACCTATAATTTCTAAGTATATGAGGAAAGGTTATCTGTAGCCATAAAAGAGTTGGTTATACATTTATTTATGAAATAATGAGCATGTTGCTTATTTTAATAAAAGTAGCGTAGTCAAAAAATAGTTAACTAAGGTTCTTGCATAACTACTGCAGACGCTACTGAAGCCGCAGCGACTAACATTGCTTATCACTACCATTTAGCCTATTAAACCGAGTAATTCAAAAGCAAAATACGCTAGTAATAATTTAAAGCGAGAATTTCAAAGGAACTAAGTTACTAAATTTTCCAATGAAAAAACCAATTTCTCAGCATAAAAATGTTCAGTATAAATTACTTTTTATAAATAATATATAGTTATTGGATGTGTAGCACTGTTATTCGAACACGCTGATGATTTTACTGGGCAAAAAAGTGATTAACGAAATAGACTTGTAATTTTGCAGGAAGTTGGGAGAAATTGATGTCAAAATTGATGTCGAAATAAATGCATAAGTTAAAAGACTTTTTAGGTTAAAGGGAAAGAATTAGATTATTATTGCGGTTTAACTTAGTTTTAAACGTATCGATTTAGTAGCCTTTTGCATACATACATATCCCAATGAATTAATTATATGTGCCATATTCTTTCATACGTGGCATCAATATGTCAAATGCAAAACAACCAGAAAAAACCAATAATTCATTAGATGTTGCTAAAATATCCAACGAAGTTAATCAATTGTATTTAGAAGATAAGTCACAGGATTTTCTTAATAATGAAATTATTAAAGAAATGTATGATTTGTATAATCAGGAACTTTCGAAAGGCAAAAATGAAAGCTTAATTTTTGACGCCTTAGAACAATTTTTAGTAAAAAAAAAGCAAAATCCAGATAATATTATTAAATATTGCTTAGATAACCAATTCAATCCTATGGTTCAATTCATTCTTGCAATTTGTTATCGTTGTGGTAAATGGATTGAAAAGGATGAACATAAGGCATTCATTTATTATCAAAAATCTGCAGAGATGGGATATGCAACTGCAATTAACAATGTTGGATATTATTATCAACATGGAATTGGAGTTAAAAAGGATGAACATAAGGCATTCATTTATTATCAAAAATCTACAGGGATGGGTATTGCTGATGGAACATTTAATGTTGGATATTGCTATCAACATGGAATTGGAGTTGAAAAGAATGAACATAAGGCTTTTGAATACTATTTAAAAAGTGCAGAATATGGAGATTGTTGTGGAATGCATAAAGTTGGTTTGTGTTATCAGCAAGGAATTGGTGTGGAAAGGAATAAAGACTTGGCATTTAAATGGTATTTAAAATCAGCAGTTACTGAACATGAATGTGAATATAATGAGTATTTTCGATGGATAGAATACGATAATTTTAAAAACATTGAAGAAATAGGTAAAGGAGGATTTTCTGTAGTGTATAAAACATCATATGAAACGTCGTTTGGAATTGATGAATCAGTTGCAATTAAAATCATTAAAGATTCGCATAAAAATAAAAATGCTTTTTTAAGCGAGGTATTTTGTTTTTTTATTTTACATGTGAATTTAAACTGTTTATGAAATATGAAATTAATTAAAATTAATTGTATATAATTTATTTGTAATTTATTTGTAATTTATTTGTAATTTATTTGTAATAATTTAGTTAAAGGCGTATCACAGATTTGGGAAATATTAT